AGTTCCTTGGAAGGCCTCGCAGCGGTCGCCCTTGCGGCAGGGCCCCTGGGAGGGGGTCCAGGGCAAGTTGTGCCAGATGGCCGTGGGCTTCTTGTAGCGGAAGCCGTACTTGCAGTACGTGACCCGGTCCATGTGCAGCCCTTGCATGTAGGGGCGGGTTTTGAGGCGCCCGGTGCTCGGGTTTTCGATGGCCCACCACCGAGGCTTGAGGTAGTCTATGACCTCCAGGGTCTTGAGCACCAGGGCATCTCCGAGCGGCAGGTTGCGGGGGCGCTTCTTGAGTGCGATGCTGAACTCGGTGCAGCAGGGCGAGGCCCACACTGCGTCGAAGTGCCCGGGCTCGAAGGCCTTGTAGTCCCATTGCAGGATGTCGGAGCAGATGGTTGGGCTGGCTTTTGGGTTGCTGTCAAGACTCGTTACCTCCCAGCCACGGGCCGCGAAGGCACGTCCGACCGACCCCGTGCCGCTGAAGAGTTCCAGGAGTCTCATTTGTTGAAGGAAAAGAAAAGGCCCACAGGACCAGCAAGCACGCCAGCAGGGCCACCACGCACTCCGCGGTGGCGACGGTGGCCGGCATTTTTTTTCTTGTCGTGAAAAAAGAAGGAGCGATGGAGCCCAAAACGGTACTCAAGCTCGGTGAGCTTACGACCAACCAGCGTGGCGGCAAGTTCTTCCCGGTGTGCGCGGAGGCCTGGCGGTCCCACGAGTGGCTGCGCATGTTGTGGCGCCCCAGCCCCTACGGCAGCGAGACGGAAGCCCGGCGACTCCCCCTGTGTCTCGAGCAGAACGAGGCCGCCAAGGCAGACCTGCAGGCGATCGAGAAGGACATCAAGGGCCAGCTGACCCAGCGATGCCTCCACGACTCTAAAATCTTCGGCCGCTACCTCACTGCGTCGGACGTGGAGGGTCGCTTCGTGTCCTGCCTCAAGACCTCCTCACGCGGGAACAGCTTCATCAAGCTCAAGGTCGATTTGTCCCGAGTCCACTTCTGGGACGCTGACCAGCAGCCGCTGGAGGATCCTGGCGACCTGGCCGGTCGGGAATGCAAGGTGCGCGCAGATTTGCGCCAGGTGTGGCTCATGTCGGGTCAGTGTGGGCTTCTGATGGAAGTGACGGACCTGCAGCTCAGAGAGGCCGAAGCCCCGGCCTTTCAGTGTCCGTTCTAGAGCACGCTCAGGAGCTCGCTGCTGGTGGCCCTGCTGCTCCCCACATAGAGGTGCTTGAGGGTGAAGTGTGGACTCTCGGTGTCGCATAGGAAAACCCGCCCTTCGAGCGTCAGGCCTTGACACGAGGCGTAGGTGATGGCGTGGCACAGCCGGGTGTGTTTCAGGAGGGCGGCGTGGGTGAAGGAGTCGCCGCCGTCCAAGACGATCTTCTCGGGACCCACTTCGGCCACATGCACGTAGATGCCTTTGGTCACGCGGCCGCCGACGCCGATGAGCTTCAGGCCGGGCCAGACCCGCATGGTCTGCGGCATGTTGGTGGTCGGCGGGCCAGTGCCGGTGTACTCGATCGTCACAGCTTCCGGCGGGGCCAGGCGACGGTTGTCCCGCGCATTGATCCTGATGCGGTGGGCGTGGGAGATGACCAGGCTGACATCGGGCTCGCCTTGCCGCGGAAACCTTTCCCGGGCCGCCCGGACCGCTTCCGGGAGGGACTGCTCCCGGGGCTCGTCGACCCGGAGCCACCGGAGGAAGTCGAAGATGCCCGGGTCGCTCCTCCTGTTCTCGGTGAGCTCGTGGTGCCAGCCGTCGGTGAGGTCGTGGAGCAGCTGGCAGTGCTTGAGCTCCCACTGCACCGGGGTGCCCGCGAAGTTGTCCATGACGGCGGGGAACTGGCGGAAGTCGCCAAGCAGCAGGAACTTGACTTTGCGGTTCATGGAGACGCAGGCGATGTCGTTCCACAGCCCCGTGTCGAGCTGCGTAATCTCCTCCACCACCAGCCAGTCGATGTTGCAGTAGCCGTTCCGGACGGTGCTCCGCACCCAGTGGTCGGCCGTCTCCGCCTGCATGCCAAAGTTCTGCACGGAGGAGTGGGTCTTCGTGATGATCTTCACCTTGTACCCTTCTTCCCGGAGGGCGGTCACGATCTGGCGCGCCAGGTGGGTCTTCCCGGTGCCCGGGTAGCCGGTCAGCAGCAGGCTCCCGCCCTCAAAAGGGTCCTCCGCGACCTTCCAGGTGTCAATGTTGCACATCCACTCCGCCTCGATTCGGGGGATCCGATACTGGCCTTCGAGGCCCTTGACCTCCTCGCATCGGTACACGGGCGTGCCGTCGGGATGCCTTTCGCGGACCAGGCTGTCCACAAGGCCCTGGAACTTTTTGGGCAGGTCCTGGAAGACGACGCAGTCCGTTTTGACGGCCTTCAGGTACCTCGACGGCACGGTTGCGAGTGCATCCCGGATTCTGCGACGTACTCCGAGGCCATCACGAAGTCGTGCACAGGCCGGCAGCTCCGGTTGGACAACAACTGGGTCACGTAGATGTGATCCCAGTGCATCCCGCCCGCGGCGTCCAGGAACAGCTCCCGGTGCTGGCACCCGGACCCGTCGAACTGGTGGTTGCTGGTGCGCATGGTGTAGATGAGGTTCATGTTGCGTGCCCACAGCCCGATGAGGGCATTCACCGACAGCTTCGCGTAGTGCTCCTCTCCCTCCGGCCAAGCCGCCTCCATTTTCTGCAGGGCCTGGGCCACGGACTCCTGGTCCACGTGCGCCGTGGCGTCCAGGCTGTACACGAAGTCGCTCCATGTCGCAAGGCCCTTTTCCAGCATGTAGGCCACCGCAGGCTTGCACGTAGGGGAGCTGCTTGAACGCCGCCCAACGCCCGTCCTCCCGGAGCCTCACGTAGGTCAGGTCCGCCAGGTGCCCTTCGCGGGCTTGCTCAACGTTGTCCTTGGGGCAGAAGATGGGCGCCGGGAACTTGGCATGGGCCAGACCGTTCTTGCGGCACCGCACCACGTCTATACCGTGGCAGATGTGGTCCGGCTTGTGGCTGTTGAGCTTGAAGACGAGCGGCGGGAGTCGAGGCGATTCCACGTACTGCTCGTAAGCCCGCCGGCTGAAGCGCGACTCCAGTGTCGTGGCGTGCGAGGACTCCAGGGCCGTTTTGTTCCGGTGGCACTCGAGGCACAGTGCCTGGAGGTTCTGGGCCTGTGCGGCGAAGGACTGGTGCACGGGGACGATGTGGTCCAACTCGCACGTGGTTGCAGTGATGGGGGCCGCGCAGAGCTTGCACTGGTGGTCCTGCTCCGCGAGCAGGGCTTGCCGAGATCCGGGCGGATCGCGGCGGGCCTTGAGAAGGTGAAGGAAGACCTCGCTCGCGGCGCCCGCCAGACGCTGCCCGCAATAGGGGAGCCCCAGCCGCCCCATCCAGGCCTGCAGCACATCCAGGTCTTCGTGGAAGGCGGAGATGACGCAGTCCTCGCCGCCCCGCACCCTCAGCCGCAGGCACCGCCACTCGCTCATGCTTCGCATGACCACCTTCGGGCAGTGCCCCTCGGCCAGCAGCTCCCTCCGGACCTGCTCCAGGTCCTCAGTGTAGAAATGACCGCTGGCGACCTCGCCCTCCCACTCCCGCCAATCCTTGAACTCGGGCGTTTCGCCGGGCTTCCTCTCGCCCCGGTACCTGGCCCGCTCCCCCATCGGCTCGCACTTCGCGACGGTGCGGGCAGATTTGTAGAAGAAGGCGTGGCCGTTCCAGCTCGTGAAGGCCACGGCCCGCTGCTCCTTGACGGTAGGCTCATACTTGTCCAGCAGGCGGCCCTGGCAGTCCACGTAGAACATCGGGGCCTGGCGCCAAAGGCAGAATTCCCGGATCTCTCGGGGGGTGATGCCCTGCTCCCGCCACGTTTTTTTGGTGCAGATTGCGTCGAAGTCCGAAAGCACCTCCTGCAGCGGCAGCCGCATCAGCTCCGCGAGCTGCCGAGGGACGCAAAGCTTGTCCGGCCGCTGTTCGAAGGCGGACTCTAGGATTTCGTCGCCGCAGTACAGCTGGTAGGAGACGTCCCGCAGAGCCCCCAGGGGCTGATCCAGGACGGTCTCCACCACCACCCGGTCGTCTACGACCTGCATGGCCTGCTGGCTGAAGGTCCACTCCCTCGTTGCGTCCAGGTAGTAGGTCTCGTCGGACAGCTCCCAAATAATGTCGTTCGGCTCGGGGTTCCCGAGCTGCGCGAGCGCGGACGCCTTGAGGTTCCGGGCCGCTTGGGCATCCGAGAGCCCCTCGCTCTGCCGGGGCAGTGTGACGTTGAGGTCCGTGACGGGCAGGCGCTTCGTGCGCTCGTAGGGCATGCCGCGGTTCCGGCCGTTTCGCCGGATGCTGCGGATGATGACGGGCACGTGCACCACCCAGTCCACCCACTTGTCCTTGAAGAAGCTCTTCCCGAGCTTGGTCAAGTGGTAGTTCCCGTTGGGCTGGAGGCTGCGGAGCAGCTTTTTGGCGCCCCCCCGGAGCATGATGTAATCGTTCGGGCCCTCGCGGATGAGGGGTTGGTTGCGGTCGTACTGCCGGCTGGGGGGCGGCCGGTCGATCAGTTGGTAGTAATACTGGCCGGCCCTCGTGAGCTCGCCGTTCGGGCGGCTGAGCATCGCGTAGCGGAGGTGGTGGTGTGTCAAAGGAAGGGTTTCTGAGCCTGCCGCCGAGGTCCTCGCCCTGACCCCGGCCTCGGCTGCAATTCTAATCGCTTCTCGTTGTTGAGCCCAGCTCATGACTTTTGAAAACCCCGGCCGGAAAAAAGGTCGTCGCCCGAGCGGGCCCCCCTTCGCCGGTCGAGTTTCCAGGAGTTCGCATCCATAGGTACTGGCGAGGGCATGAAAGAACGCCTTTTCGCCGGTCGACCTAAAAATCACTGCTTCAGGGCGAAACGTTGGCATTTTTTGTTTTGCATGTTCTTGCTGGATCTTCGCATGATTTTGGCATGACTTTGCGCATTTTTTGCTAGAGTGCTTGGGCCGCGCTCGCTCCTCGAAGCGCCAGCAATCGACAACATACCGTGCTAGTCCTAATCATATGCCAACTAAAGACCTTCCTTCAGCACCTGTGGTCGCAACAGCAGCAGGCAAAGCCAGCAACACTTCTAAGGAAGACAGCAGACACACACACAGGGTCCTGACACAGGGCCGAACGCCGGGCGCACAGAGGTTCAGGAGGTGTTTGGGAAGGTGTTTGGGGGGTTCTGAGGCTGCGAGGTCTGGAAGTGTTGTGCGTCGCTGTGCTGCAAGGCTTCAGGGTTTAGGGTTGGCAGGTGTGAGGCAGTGAGGTCGCCTGAGTGCCCGGGAATTTCGGGCCCCCCTCCTGTGATCAGGTGCTCCTCGTCTCCACTGCTGGCAGCCGGGCTCCGCAGAGGCTTCAGGGTCGGTAGGGTTTCGGGTTGCAGGCTATTGTGGGCTCCGATGCAGTGAGGTGTAGTTCGTTTGTGCTCAGGAGTGCCTTGCGTGCTGTCTGCCCTTCCTCCCCTCCCCGCTGTAACTCTAGAGTGCCCTGCGTCTCCCCCGCCCCTCCCGGGAACCCCGGGCCCTCTCCTGCGACCAGGTGCGCATCGTGACCCGGCTACTCTTCAACATCTTCGCGCAGCGTGGCAGGCGGGTTTCGGCAAGAGGGGTTCAGGGTTGTCTTGGCGCCTTTTTTTGCTTGTGTGAGCCTTGCGCCGCCCTCCCTCCCACCCCCTTCCCCCCGTAAGCTAAAGTGTGGTGCTCCTCCCCTGTTGTGGGCAGGTGTTCACTTCCTCGCGGCCATCTTCAAATTTTGGGAGGTCCAGCGCTCTGAGTGTGAACCAGACGTGTCTCTGTGGAGATTGCGACTTTTGGGCAATTTTTGAGGTTGGGAGGACCCGGGCAAGGCAAAAATGGCCAATTTGCTGGTCGGGGAGCTCGGCGTGAAAACGTGATTCTGGGAGGCCGGGAAGGCCAACGTGAAAAAGTGAAAACGTGAATCTGGGAGGCCGAGAAGGCCAACGTGAAAAAGTGAAAACGTGAATCTGAGAGGCCGGGAAGGCCAACGTGAAAACGTGAAAACGTGAATCTGGGAGGCCGGGAAGGCCAACGTGAAAACGTGAAAACGTGAATCTGGGAGGCCGGGAAGGCCAACGTGAAAACGTGAAAACGTGAATCTGGGAGGCCGGGAAGGCCAACGTGAAAACGTGAAAACGTGAATCTGGGAGGGCGGGAAGGCCAACGTGAAAACGTGAAAACGTGAATCTGGGAGGCCGGGAAGGCCAACGTGAAAACGTGAAAGCGTGAATCTGGGAGGCTGCCAGGCCGGGAAGGCCAGCGTGAAAACGTGAATTCGTGAATTTGGGCGATTTTGGCGCGAAAAATGGCAAAAAATGACAGGAAAAGAGGCAGATTCACATTTTCACGTTTTCACGTCCGGGACGGGGAGGGCAGGATTCACGTTTTCACGTTTTCACGTCCGGGACGGGGAGGGCAGGATTCACATTTTCACGTTTTCACGTCCGGGGGGGGAGGGCGGGATTCACATTTTCACGTTTTCACGTCCGGGAGGTGAGGGCGGGATTCACATTCTCACGTTGTCACGTCCCGGGGGGGAGGGCAGGATTCACATTTTCACGTTTTCACCTCCGGGTAGGGGCAGGGCGGGATTCACATTTTCACGTTTTCACGTCCGGGGGGGAGGGCGGGATTCACATTTTCACGTTTTCACGTCCGGGGGGGGAGGGCGGGATTCACATTTTCACGTTTTCACGTCCGGTGCGGGGAGGGCAGGATTCACATTTTCACGTTTTCACCTCCGGGTAGTGGGAGGGCGGGATTCACATTTTCACGTCCGGGAGAGGGGGCATTTGGAAGTCTGCGTTCGTGTTGCAAGCAGGGTGTGGGTCCATGAGCTGTTTTTGCGTGCAAGGTCTGGGCGAGTTGGCTTCGAGGCGCACATGCCAGCTCTTTCTTGCAAGCGTGTGTGCCGGACAAGCTTGGGTGCTTTGTGCAAGGGGCTTGTGTGTCAGATTCGATTTCGGCTGGAGCGAAGCTGGGTGCCACCATGGAGGCCTTTGCACCCGGAGCCACGGTGATCCACTCCGTTAGCCAGAAAGTGCACAAAGTTGGCGATGACCGCCGGCTGCTGTGCCGAGCCCGTGTTGCCGAGCAGATGCTGCGTCTCTTGGAAGTCGCGAGGCCGGAGGACGACCTTTGCCAAAAATGCTTACGGGAGCCGTGCAGGTCCCGGAGACCATGTCCAGCTCGGAGGAGACAGCAATGGAGCCGGTCCAGGAGGAGGAGCCGAACAGCCGATCGCCAGCCTCTTTCCAAAGCTCCCGCTCGCGGTGCAGCTCTTTCGCCAACACGTCACAACCACTTCCTGGAGGAGCCGGGTACGAGCGGGTACGAGGTGTCCAACTTGAGCAGCAGCGGCGTGGGCCGAATCCCCGTGTGCCACCCGTCTCCTTCGGGACCACCTTGCAAGGGCTTGGCCGTTCCTACAGCGGCATAGTGCTCAAGCCCGCCGAGCCGACAGAGCCCGGGAAGAAGCGGGCGAAGACCGAGCCCGTGCCTTGGGGAGTCTTGCCAGCAATGGTGCGTGCTGAGTTGCAGCGGGGCATTCCGATCCATCTCGCCGGCAAGAGTGTGGCGGCTCTTTCACCGACGACTCGAGCCGTCGCCCAGACCGGCATCGCGGAACATGAGGTCAACGTGGTGCGCCCGGAGTTCACCATCGGCAAGGCCATGTTTTCGCACCAAAAGCTGGGCGAGCTGCCGAAGCAGGTCCCGGCCTTCCTGATCAGCCGCTCAGACACGCTTGCCCAGACCGTTACGGATCGGCCCTGCGTGAAATTTGTAAGACTGCCTTGATTTGTCGACATGATGCCGTCCGTGACAACGTCTTCGTGGCCCCCTAAACCCCAAACCCAAAAGCCAGCTTGTCTCGAAGCCGGTTCGCCCCAGGCCTCGGGCACACACACAAACATAGCTCCGTGTCAACCCCTCCTGAAGTCTTGCTCCGGCTGGCTTGGAGGGATGAGCCAGCAGTCAAACTGAAACAGGTGGAGCTTGACCATTCGTTCATGCAGATTGCCTTTTGCTCGAGCCAGAGGACAGCTAGGACCAGCAGGACGACTGCCGCCATGAGCAGGCCTCCAGCAACATCGCGCAAGGTCGGGCGCGTGGTGGTGCTACTGGCGCTGTTCCTGGTGTGTTTGCCAGAGCCTAAGACCAGCGCATTGAACAGCGTTAGAAGTGTTCCCGAGCAGCTTCAGGCGAGCAACGCGGACGGCGCGGGCTTTGCTTGGAGCGGGGGCCGTGCCGTTTTCGAGGTGGGATGTGATGTATGGCATGGAGTGCCGAAGATGCGCAAGCCAGAGCGAGGTCGGTTACTGCGGGAATATGGGCACACAACTTTCGCGTCGCACGCAGGGCTAAGGCGGGGAGCCGAGACCGAGAGGAAATTCTGTATTAAGCTTATGTCCTGAAGAGCTGAGACTGATGGCACTTTGGGCCGTGGTAAGGCCGAAGACCATGAAGACGTCAAGGCGAAAAGGGTTTGTCGTTTCGGCGTGGCGTTCCTTGTGCTGTTCTGATGGCATTTCCTTCGCTCCTGCCAGAGTGTCATTTTCTGACCAGGGGTCTCTGCAACCACGTGAAGACGAAGATAAGGCGAGGTTTGCTTGTCCTTTCGGCGTGTGTTCGGATTTCGCATCGAAAGCTGCTCGGCGGGAGCATCAGACGAATTTCGAGGAGCTCGAGGGATTGATTGCGAGGGTCTCATGCTTGCATGAAACGGTCCTGCCAGCAGCACATGTAGGTCTTCTCGGGATCAGTCCATGTTGGGAGGCCACCTCAGAAAAGGATGACGTAGCAGAGGCGACGACCGAGGCGTTCTTGCTGGTGAGGGCTTCACAGTTCTAGCAAGCTTCGATCAGGCGGTGAAGGCTCGCTGACACTAGCATTTTTGAGAATGTGCCCCTTGCTGCAGGTTTCGCGAAACAAGGCAGTGGACGAGGCGCTTTGCGATGTCTCTTGCTTAAGTGGTTCTTGTCCTTTCAGTGTGGTGGGCCAGGGAGCTTCAGACGCATTTCGATGAGCTTGAGGGGTTGCTTATGCAGGCTGCCTCAGCACAGACTGCTGACCCGGTTGAAGATGCCAAGCAGGCTGTGCCTCCGAGGGTGTTGTTGCTTGCTTTGCCTTGCTTGTTGTGGGCCATTGCGGGCTGAGTCTGAGAGGGCTTTCTGAAGTTCGCAATTGCAGATTGTGGCTTTTGCCCAGGACGAGCAGCTGCAGCAGACGGTTCAGGAGACAGAGGAGATCAAGCAGGTGCTCCGGCTCTAACACAGTTGTTTGTTTGATGTGGGTTGATGCCTGCAGCACGTCTCAGAGCCGGTATTTTCTAGCATTCGTGGCGTGGTTGTGGTTTTTACAGGACGAAGGCTTCGACGAATCCACCGAGAAGGCCAGAGCTGGCTGGCAATGTCCGAGTTTGAAGTTTGAAGGGCGTGAAAGCTTCAAGCTCCGACCTACGCTCCGTGAGAACCTTGTTCTGCCACTGGACCTGGCAGGTTGCTAATGCGCGGAAGTTTCTGGAGCTGGCTTTGGCGAGATGGGTAGGCGCCGAGGAGGATCTGAAGGAGGCGAGAGCGGCGCGGGCCTTTGCATTCGAACAGTTTCGAGAAGCCGTACGGAACGGCGACGAAGATGAGAAAAGGACTTGGGAGCAGGAGCGCAAGGAGGCCAAGGCAGAGTTCGAAAAGGCCAAGGCAGAGTTCGACGAGGCCAAGGAGGAGGCCAGAAAGGCCAGGGAGGAGCTCGAGAAAGCCAAATCAACAGCACCCCTTCAGGCCGGCGGTGCTTTTGCGCTTCTGCGTGTGCAGTTCGTGCAGTCCACCATTGTTGGTTTTTGGGGTCATGCTCTCCTCTCAGCAAGGATTCCGCTCGTCGCTAAGCTTCACTGTGTTGGCTTGCAGCTCTTCGGGGAGTGGCCTGTTTTGCGCCTGCTTTGCGCTCTCCAGGTTGCGGTTGCTTTCGTTTGAGGCTCGACTTTCAGGTTAGTCCGTGAGGGGGAGTCAAGGGACCTGGGTTCTTGGTGCCTGCCTTTAGCACACGGACCTTGCCGAGCGGTGGGGTTCCGGCAAGACGAGTGCGGGCCGGGGGCTTCTGCTTGGGTGGTTTGTAGCACTCCTGCATGTCCGGGGCTCTTGGTCGTCGTGCGTTTTCGTGCGGTCCACCGTTGTTGCTTTTTGGGGTAATGCTTTCCTCTCAGCCCCTCGTCGTTATGGTGTCTGCGCTGTGTTGGCTTGCAGCACTTCGGGGAGTGGGAGGGGCTTTCGGAGCAGAGGGCTCTTTGGCTGCTGTAGGTTCAATCAAACTGGATGCTCTTCTTGTTGTGCCGATGCTTCAGAACGGGGTATCAGTCCGAGGCTCGAGGTGCGGGGGTCAGCCTGTTTTGTGCTTGCTTTGCGCTCTCCAGGTTGCGGTTGTTTTTGTTTGAGGCTCGACTTTCAGGTTAGTCCGTGAGGGGGAGTCAAGGGACTTGGGTTCTTAATGTTTTTGGCACACGGACCTTGGCAGTGGGGTTCCGGCAAGACGAGTGCAGGGGGCTTCTGCGTGGGTGGTTTGTAGCACTCCTGCATGTCCGGGGCTCTTGGTCGTCGTGGGTTTTTCGTGCGGTCCACCGTTGTTGCTTTTTGGGGTGCTGCTTTCCTCTCAGGATCCCTCGTCGTTAAGGTGTCTGCACTGTGTTGGCTTGCAGCACTTCGGGGAGCGGGAAGGGCTTTCGGAGCAGAGGGCTATTGGCTAAGCTTTGGAGGGCTGTCCTGTTTGGTCAGCGTTAGCGCAGTGAGGCTCGCGGTGCAGCTGCTTTTGTAAGGCTCGACTTGAAGGGAAGCTTCGGAGGCACAGTGCTAGAGGTCTGCGGTAACGTTTTCCGGGTTTTTCAAAAGAGGCTGCCATCTTGGACAGGTGGAGCTGCTCGTGTCATTATTGCTTGTACTTTGGGTGGTTTTCGGAGGTATCCGGAAGGTTTGTGGCCAGTTCAGCTTTGCAAGTGGCTGGACCCTGCAGGCGAAGGCAGCGCCAAGGGTCATCAAGGACATGGGGAGAGTGCGTAGGGAAACCTTGTGTTTGGCGTTCATGCTCCCCTTCGCAGGAAGAAGAACTCGGTCCGCTGTCTCAAGCGCGCGTCCCTGCAGCAAAGCTACAGGATGGACAGAGGCTTGTGGGGATCGATGCCTGCGTGAAAGCTTGCATGGGCTTGATCGAGAAGTACATCAACCGAAGCGATGTGAGTGTCACGAACCGCGTGCCGCCCACCTGCGCAGCAAGATGTGCGCGAGGTGGGAAGACCACCTTCCTGCTAAAGCTTGGCGAGAGACTGGCCGAGGCTGAGTACCTCCCCATCTTTGTGTCCTTCAACGGGGAAAGCCCCGTCAAACGGCGGGACAACGAGCTAGCGGACGAGTGGCTGTACCGGACTATTGCGTATGCGCTGCTCCCGGCCAACAGTTCGCTTCGTCAGGATGTGGCAGACGAACTCGGAAACAAGACGTGTCAGAAGTCGACTCTGCAATCCTACTTCGAGTGCCAGAAGAACGTTGTTTTGCTAGTCGATGAGCTTAACCAACTGTTGCTGAGGGGCCCCACCCAAGAGGAAAAGAACGCAGAGCAAGATGCCGCCCGCTTCATGAAAAATGTCTTCCTTGGCTCTGAAGGTGCCTACATGGTCTTCACCTCCCACATTCAGTCCACGGGGCTAGACTTGACCCAGTACATGGAGGGCGACTCCGTTAGGGGGCTGGAAATCACAGGCTTGCCATTCGCAGATGAGCTCGGAGAGCTGCAGAACATGTCGCCAGCATTTTCTGGCTTGACGCACATGAAAGCAGCCTACTACTCAAGAGTCCCAGCACTCCTTTGGTCCTCGCACGATGATGGGTCTCTGCTCTCACAAAAATTCTCACAAATCCGGGATGACCCGCAACAGCACCTTGCCGCCTTCTTGCGCGAGGTTTTCGCAGGCACCCCGATGAGAGAGATGGAGGCTTTCAGGCAGCTCACGGACGGCAGCCAAAAAGACAGACCAATATGGATCCCATGCTTCATGTCGCACTTCCTTACCCAATGTAGCAGTGCCTGCCCTGCCTGTGGTGTTCTTGGACGGTGGCTGCAAGGCATGCAAGCTGCAGAGGAGAAGGATGGCAAGGCGTGGGAGAAGATCATCGCCGTTGCCTTCGGCTTGCGCTACATTTGGCAGCAGATGGGCGGCGAAGAGCACGGATGGCTGCATGGACATGAAGGGGCAGCAATCCAGTGTCTGGATGCCAACCCAGCGGCGAAGACTGTCGAGCAAGCAATGCAGCAGCTGCCACAACCATTGCAGTACCCAACCTTGCAGCTGGTGCTCCCGAGCCACGCACAGTTCGAGGCAGTAGACTTGTTCGCTGTGAGGAGAAAAGCAGACAGTGCTGACTTAGTCATGGTGGCGCAGCAGAAGGAAGGCAGCGCCAGTGTCAACCACCCACGGCCACAGACTGCGAAGCATGCTTACTGGATGAGAGGATCGTCGACGCAAAACGCAAAGACGAAAGATGGATGGATCCTGCCCTCGCAAAGCGAGATTGAAAAGTTCTTGGGACCCTCCTTGGCAGCTGCAGCACCAGCCACCTGGCGGGACCCGGTAGACTAGCAGCAAAGGCTGGCCGCGAGAATGGCTTTGCTCTGATGCTGTCCCCTGTTTGTTTCTCTCGTGACGTCTCACCAGGCATTCCCTCGAGGCCCGCGTGCAAAGACTCGCATGTATTACTGAGATGCTGCACTTTAATGCAGGACCTCAATACCCAAGCCCGACCCTGCCCGACCCTCGGTCCAGGTCTTCCCCGAACACCTTGCGGGCAATGTAGCGGAGATTTTTGCAAACAAGAGTCGCGACGATTACGGGAAGGCATATGTTACGGGGATCACGGGTGTCACGCCAGGCAGCGAGCCAGTTCCCCGCCTGAGCCTCAGACATGCCCTGGAGCCCGTTAAAGCTTGAGTCGAAACTCCTTAAAGCTAGCAGTTGAGCCCCTGAAAGGTGAGCCCGCAACCGAAAGCTTGCCGCCAGTTGACCTTAAAGTCCCTAAAGCTTGCGGCAAAGACAGAAACTTGCCGCCAATTTGCTGAACCTAAAGCTTGCGGTGAGCCCGCCTACAGCTTGCAATCAGCCCGAAACGTAAAGCTTGCCGCCAGTTGATCGCTAGTTCAGCCCGACACCTTATAAGCATGCGTGTGAGCACGAAACCCTAAAGCTTGCCTCCAGTTGAGCCCCAAACCTAAAAGCACGCGGTTGAGCCCGAAACCCTTGAAAGCACCTGCCGAGGCTGTGGCCTTCTGAATGCTTGCTTGAGATTCTCACCCAGAAGTTGCAGAGTAACTTGTTTCTGCAGTTGCAGGTCCTAATGCTCCAATTGTCGGGAAGACTGGCCACCAGTTGAATATTCTTTGCAGACGAGAAGTCTGTTTGAGCCTTGCGTCTTGCAGTTGAGCTAAAGCCTGGGTCGAGCTGGCATGGGAAGCGAATTAGCGTGAGCTGTGGTGAGAAGGAGATCGAACAATCCCTGCCAGGCCGCACTGTGGCCCAAAAGATTTTACGCGCATTTTACGGGCACTTTTGACCCTTCTAAAAGCCAGCCCTCAGCCCTCAGGACCGCGTTTTAAAACGGGTTCCGGCCAAATCGAGGAAGAAGGACTTGCCCCAACAACGAAACAGCCGGAGGCCACGCCACAACAGAGGCCAGTTTTAAAACACAGATACAAGAGAGAGGGCGAGGATCCATTGATACCGAGCTGATTCTAGCACGAACCGCCGCTGGCAGACCGCATCCTTCGACCTGAGGGTACAGAGCACGTGCCCATAGCTGGGCGGCTTGGGGCAGGAGCAACAATGCATGTGCGGCATTACCGCTGGTCGAAAGCAACAACGGGCGTTGTGTGTCCTCATATCAGACTTTTTTGCCCTGGTTGTCCCGGACTGTTTCCATTTCTAAGCCAGTGAGTGCATAGGAATTGGCTGTGTGAATGATGCTGCCCGACACAGTGGAGGGCGTATTCTCGGCCTTCCCATGCTACCGCTAATGAAGAGCGACCGATATTCCCCTCAAAGGTTTGAAAGCCACTGCAACGCACCTCTTTTTGCTTTTCAGCAACCGAATCTGAGCATCGAGGTCGTACCAGGAAAGGGGGCCTGGGGGTCCTAGTTTAGGGGGTCCATTTGGCCCGCAAAAAACTACACCCCTCCAGCCGCCCACAGTAACCCCTCACCGCAACTTCCGAGCAGGGGCTCGGTGAAGCGGCTCAGAAGCTTCCGTTCGGGTTGCTCCCTTGCTCCTGAGTGTAACCTGAAGAGAATCTTGTAAGAGTGCGGGAGTGATTTGATGTTGGGTACGGTGCGCCCGCACTCACGCCCTGGTCCCGCATGGATTGACAGTTTGTTCTTGTGGCTTCTAGCCTTCTTAGCCGCGAACGTAAAGGAGTGAGGGTATTACCTACTAACTTGTCTCCTTTTTCTGTGCCGCCAGGGCTCACACGAGCAGGCGCCCGCTTGCCCGTGGCAGCCTTTACACTGCTGTCAATGGAGATGGCGGCAGTGACTGGGAAGATGCTACCCTTACGAACACCCGGAGATCTTTTCCATCGAGCCCATCCTCGAAGGCCACGGCCACACTTGTAGTGCTGGCTGGATATCGCTCACCAAGCTCCTCGTACTGCAAGGAATCCGCGATGCCTCGGCAGCCCAAGGACGTAAAGCAGCTTGAAACAATGGCCAAGGAATCCGGCAAATCTTCCAACGCTCCATCGGTCAGAAGTGCTTTGAACAATGGTCAGGAAGCGCGTCTTCTCCGTGAAAAGCTCCTCTTGCCGACCTTCCAAGTCCGCGATTTTAAATTGCTTGAAACAAGCGTTTTTTAAAGCCTCTGACAGTGCCGTTTGGACAGAAATCAACTGCAGGACGAGACGAGTTCAACTGTACTGCTGAGACGTCCATGTTGCGCGCGACGCCCAAACCGAACCGTTTTGAAAGGCGAAGTGTCTTTCTACAATGTGAATAAGTGCGAGCGAAGCGAGCGAAACACCGGAGTACATCTGATTGTGTTTTGTTGTCAGAGCTTGTTTTTTGATGGTTTTTTGCATTTTGATCGTCTCACCTTTATTGATTGTCAGGCTTGTGCTGTTTTTTTTTTTCAATTTACTTTTTTTTGCGAAATAATAAAGGTTTTTTTTTGTTCAGACCAATTATTGCAACTTTCTGGAAAGCTCAAAAAACATCTGCAGAAATTTCTTGGGATCTCTCTGCAAATCCGACTTTTTGAACCAAGAGGCGTCTCAACACTAAAGGGTGTCTTGCACCATTTTAAGTCCAGAAGGTGTCTCAACAGAGTTGCTGGATCGGTCATTGCTTCTGTGTCTTTTTTGGTGGTCTTGGTGCTGATTCTCCTGACTCTAAGTCTTACCTTGCCCTATTCAGCTGCTGATGGAGTGAAGAGGCTGGCTTGAGTCGCTTGGATCTTTCTTGTCTTCTGGTCAATCTTGGTTCCAAGAATCCGTTCTTGGTTGTCCTGTATCGTGTGTCTCTGTGTCGTGTGTGTTAATTGGGGGTGCCTGCAACCATGAATTTCTGGCAGCACGTCTGGCCCCCCAAAGTGGGTTTTTAATTTGAGATCTGCAAAAATTTTTTGCCGGACCAGCTTTGCAATTCTTGTTCTTCTGTCCTGCAAATGTGTGTCTGTGTGTGTGTGTGTGCTTTTGTGGTGGCTTTAGCGGTTGCAGGAGCAGTTTTGAACCCATTTTTGGGTCCCAATTTTGGGCCCATTTTGGGGTCATAATTTGGGACCCAAGCGTGTAAAACAATGAAAAGACCTCCTCTCTTTCTGCCAACAAGTAGGTCCAATTTTGGAAGCTTTTTTGGGCCCTGTTTTCGGGCCCCCCAATTTTAGGGAATTGCTGCTCCATTTTTGTCCACAGACAGCACGCCTGCAACGACAGCTGTCGTGTTGAGCTGAAGTAGAATCTCTTGTGGAGGTGGTCTGTGTGTTCGCAGCCCGTGAATTGTTGTCCTTGTTGCTGCTGGTTGCGGCTGCAACTGTACTGCTCGTCAAACTTGTACAGAGAACGTAAATGGATATACTGCCAAGAGATGCAGGTTTCTACACCGCCGTGTAAGTGCGGGCGCACTCACGTGGCATGAGCAACTCAACTGTCCTCCTCCACTTGCCTAGTGACTGGGGTCCTAGCCTGGCTAGGGAGGATAAGAGTACAGCATTGTTTCGCATTCGCGCGACACCCAAGTCCATCAATTCCGCAACATGAAGCTGCCCAGCAGCCACACTATGTGCTTGTGGGTGCGCGCTTGACGCACCGTAAGGGGGTGCCCAATCGTAACATTGCAACCACGGCATTTGGTAAACTGCAAGAAGGGGCGCAAAATCTTCTTGGTTAGCGCGGATTGGAGGTTGACTTAAGCCAAAGCATGTTGGACGCCACGGTCAAAGTTCTCCACATCCTTCTTGCCGCCATCAACCATTCTTCATGTTAGCTATGTGGATGATTTGATTCTATGTGGAACCAAGGAGGCCATTCAGTTGGTCACAAACACCCTGAATGGGAAGCTGAAAATCAAGGAAACGGTCGAATCACTTCCACTGGAGAAAAAAATCACCTTTCTGGGGCAAGAGATTGAGAGACAAGGAAGTCATTTCAGGATGAGAGTGCCCCCGGCGTACATGGATGCGTTGTTTAAGACCGAGTTCTGTAAGGACGTGAAGGTGGTTACTGCCCCTCCGGACATCGTAAAAACGGTGGAAAAGGGAAGAGCAAGTGGTTCGGATCCAGAGCTAAGTGACGCTGCAGCTGCTAGATACCCAATTAGGTTTCTTAAGGGACAATACCATGCTTGGCAGTGCTACGGTCCTAATGGTGATGTGCCAGATAGTGGGCCGGCGCAGCTGGAAGTGTACGCGGATGCCAGTTGGGCACCCCAGGCTTTGCTAGGACAAAGATCAGTGTCGGGCATTGCCATCTTTTACAGAGGATGCCTGATAAAAGGAATCTTCCAAGTTCAAGGGTGTGTGTCGTTGAGTTCCTGTAAGGCTAAGTTGAGAGCAAGCCCAGACCCTCAAGGTGTTGTGGTGTCCGACTTCAGCGCTGGTGGCTAATGTCATGACAAGATGTTTAAGTCAGATGACCAGGGATTTTCCCTGACGAGAATGTGCAACAGGTATGGAGGATTACGCCACATTGGATGGCCAACCGGGACGTACCAGTATGCTGGAGCAACTGGACGTCGAGTTGTGGAGTCCGAGGCGGCTGGAAAATTCCATTAAAGAAAGTGAAATTTCTGATCGCCCCAGGGATCCAAGTGAAAGCCCCCCATGTTGCACCCGAGGCATGGATTTGTGGTCCACCTGCGGAACTCTGGTTTAAGCACAACCGAAGCTAGCTCCAGCCTGGAAGTCGAGCCGAAGGTGAGAACGACCGAATGGGTACTGCTGAAGGAAGCTCCGAGAAAAACGGTGAAGGGCGCCGAAAATGGAAGCCCCGTTTTGGTGTAAGCCATGCAAATGGCTCTTCAGGAGTGACGGGCATCCGGGCTTGGCTGGACCAATGGGAATGAAGGGCCAAACGGTTGTGACACTGTGGAGCACGAGTGCG